AGGCACCGAGCAACACCCTGCCAGCACAATCGCCGGGCTGGATGGGGGATGGCGCCCGGGGGAATCCGAAGGAATACGGGGGAATCCGGGGATGAAGAATCTTTGATTAAAGAATTATATTTACAGAGCCCATTTTTCAAGATCTAATTTTTATCAATAAATTATGAATGACATTATCCGCTAACAAAACAATCAATTTGGAGTCTAAAAATCAGAAAGAAGGGGCGGGGGCGAACGGGTTGAAATCTCCGTCCTGAGCCTCGTCCTGATTACTCGTCCGATCCGGGGATATCCCCGTCCAATCCGCGGAAAGATCGCGAGTTTGGACGGGGCTCAGGACAGGAATTTCGACCCATCCCCCCGCCGCCTGAAAAAGGTTTTCGTGGCCGGATGCCCCTTGTTCTCATTTTTTAGACCCCAAGTTGATTGTTTTGTTAGAGGATAATGTGATCAATAATTTATTGATAAAAAATAGATTTTTAAAAATGAGCTCTGTATATATAATTCGTTAATCAAAATTTTTAATCCCCGGATTCGCCCGTCTAGAGCACGGGGTAATCTAGGGATTGTGCTGGCAGGGCATTTTGAGTTCTTTTATTGAATTTCGACCATTTCATAGAATTCACTTCTTATTCCTGACTATTGTTAAAAATTGCACTTCTTTTATTTCTATGCGCCTGACTGAAAAGGAAATCGCCCTAACTTCTTCGCAGTGCACTGCTTATTTTTTCGTCAGCAACATACAAGATGATACAATATCATCGACATTATTGGACATCTGCAGAAACCGGTCTTGAAAACTCAGGCATATCTCTTCGCGAGCGTAGGCTAACAAATATCGAAGGATGAAGGATTGCCTAACCATTTTGGCATAAGCTTATGGGTCTAGATTGAAAATGACTTCTTTTTCGTCAGCTAAGACATTTTTCGGGTCATTATAGGAGCCCTGAACTCGGAAGTCCGGCGATGAATAGCATATACAACCACCAACTTTTTTTTCTGATCAGTTTGTTGTAGCGACGGAGAATGGCCGCAAAGGAGAGTTATTTTATATCTGTCTCTTTTCCAACCATCTTCTTGGCATTTTCTATGTTTTCAAAAGAAACTCTTATTACAGACTCTAACAGCAGTTAATTAGGTAGAGAACTATAGTGACCTTCTGCTGACCCACTCAGAAAATGTTTGTATATTAACACGGAAAGAAGGCTTGCTTCCTTTAGGACTGGAGATTTCATTGAATAACAGCTGTTGCTGCCGCTTTATTCTCGCTGTGTACCTTAGAGGAAGATTGAATACTTAGTGTCAAAGTAGTAGATGTGCTATGTTATCAAATATTTACGTCAATTCTAAGAGGTCTTTTAGGTAAGATAAAAATGTTTTAGTAGGTTTGTAGGACTGTAATATAATGCAGCATAATTCCCAGATATTTCAGTCATGTTAGAATTCCGGTTTCTAAGAGAACTTCCTCACGATAGCTCCCAAAACTACATAATAAAAGTGACTACTTGAATACAATGGTGTTTTTCTGTTGATTTTTGATGCTCTCATAAATATAAGTATATTTTATGGATGACATATACATAGATATTCATTCTGCTCTCATTTGGTAACAAATAACGTCTCCTTTAAATTTTATGTCTAACAAAGTATTTATCGGTATTAAAAATTTTTTCTGATTATGAGAATATTATGAATAGATATTACGCGTTCGTAAAACGTTTCATAATCCGTCCATTTATTAATAATTATTGTAGAGTCTACAAAATTGACCTCATCAACTGCAAAATTTTATAATCACTGTATGACGTTCCCCTAATAGCATAGAGAAGTGTGTGATTCTCCTGACACGGGAAATAAGCACACTGTAGTTTGGAAACCCTGAAGGCAGATGTAACAGCAGGTTTGGTTTAAAAATATTCTGGAATTAACAAGGTTTCTCAAACCCAAAAGATACCTATTTAGGTAAACATAAAGTCTAAGAATAGGTGATTTATTACAAATGAGTGCAAGAAAGAATATTGTCGGTTGTCTTTTCCATAGGATATACTTACATTTATAAGGGCATCGCAAATCAATGAGAAATAATTATACTAGTTATGCAGACAACTGAAAACAGCCCACTGGAAAGCTGGCATTCCGACGTGAGCGATATCCATAGGAACTACGCCACACGATAATTAATATGATAATCCTATTCAACTAATATGTTCTAATTGAAGCCACATTATAGAATTGTATGTACTGTATGTTGCGTGCTGGTAGTATATCAGCGCCAAATATTCCAGCAAAGCCTATTTCGAGTAAAAATAAGGCAAACTCAGAGGTTTTTGCGGAACCGAATTTTTTCTCCTTTCATATAGCATTGATTGAATCGTTTGCGTTCACATGGAAATAAAATACTTGAACTGATTTGCGTGCCATCTATCGGACTAGCCTGGAGGTCACGTTTGGGATTCCGGTTACGTAGGAGGTCAATGCTGTATTGAAACACATTTCGGGGAGAGAAATCCGGTCGTGATACATACGTAGATAGTCACCGACTGTTAATTA